ACACATATAAATATACATACATACATACATAAATAAATACATACACACACACACACACACACACACACACCCTATTAATTCAAATATTAAATTATTTATATAATTTATATGTAATAATTTTTTTTTTAAATAAGAGTGTTCATTGAACATACCAAATTTTTTCAGATCATAATAAGCATTTCAACTCAATACTTCAAAATTTTTCACTTTATTTCTAACTAATATGTTGCACATTCTAACACCTGAACAAATCAATTAGTGAACGAAACCGGTTTTCCCTTCGCCGGAGTATCCGCCGGAGTCTCACAATTTTAATTATTGCTCAAACTATGAAAAAAAAAAAACAAATTAGATCATTTTGAACGTTAAAGCTGAAGCTACACGTGTCATAATGGAGTGCATTAGTAGTAGGATATGGTCTAAATTGGATGACATATTCTCAACAGGGTGTTTTGTACCTTCCATACATTAAAGACATGCCATGGATGATGGCCCATGAGAAACAAGGAAAAAAATGCCTTCAAACTACTCTATTTAAAGAAAAGGTTAAAAATGTTCTCATGAAAGAGACTTTTTTTCTTGGTAAAACTACTATATTTATATAATAAGCAATTCCAGCTACTTCATTTATGATAGGTTCTTAAAACCTTTTTCTAAAATTTCTCAATCAACCATATCAACAACAATAGGAATGTTTAGTGCTAAACATTTTTAAGGTAAAGAAAAATTAAGTTTTTAACTTAATAGAAATGCTTAGCACAATTGGTTTATAAATAGGGAAAAAAACTATGAAACTAGTCATGGAGAAATGATTTATTAATTAATTGAAGATAGAGAGTTTTGATGTTCATCTCAATTAAAGAAGACAAAGTTCAAGATCATAGCAACTTGCTTATTTTCATAATTTTAGAATAAGAGTTGTTGGAAGGAAATAATAATGAAAATAGTTGGGCAACAATGGCCTCGATATTATGATATGATAATAACAATAGTTAAGAGTAAATAAGTTATAACAATTGTTGTTCATGTTTAACAATTCATGATGGTCGTTGGGCTTGAGCTCTCCTCATGAGTTGTGGTTTATCCCTTAATTCATACATTTTCTTACATGTGAAGAATGAAGGTTTATTTATAATGTTAGAATAATGACATTTTGATAAATTATGCTAAAATCTAAAAACTCTTCGTCGGATGATTCATGTTGATTCTTTTTGTCATATATCATTTTTTTTTCAATTTTAAAAACATTAACGATCTCATAATTGAACAATGAACTTATTGGATCACCCTTTTAAAAAACTTGATTTGACTATAAATATGTTAAATTCAAATGTCATTTCACATTCCAATTAATGCAGTGAATCTCTTAATTATCTCTTAATTGCTTTATTTAGGCTCATGTGAACTTGGATCAAATTATTTTTAGCAGTGTTATGTACATTTTGCCAAGTGGTCTTATTTGACCATAATTTTACTAAAAATTAAATTTGAATGATATTAAATTTGAATTTAAAAATTATCTTATAAAAAATATATTGAGATTTGATCATGGTGGTGCATATTTTTATTGATATGTCAATTATTATTATTATTATTATTATTATTATTATTATTATTATTATATAGTACTCTAACTGGAAAATTGTGTTTCATTTGTCATTCACTCGATGATTGGAGAACGGTGTTCCATTGCTATTGGTGATCACCATCGACAACCCATATTTGCAGATGATGTCGGTCTAAATTAAATTATGCACTGCCCCCTGCATCGATTCAGACCACCATTTAAAAAAATAATCGACCACTACCAATAAGAAATTTCATTTGCCCTTCGACAGAGGGTAGAAACCGAGGATGTTCAATCCCAAAATGGCGAAAGGCCTGGGCTGGCTATCAACTAGAGTTTTTGAGTTGGCTGATAGTGTAGGGGCGAAAATTTTTTACATTTCTCTCATCTCCTTGAGAATTCCTCTATGTCTATCAGGAGTGTGAGCCAGAAATACCCTTGTCGTTGTACCTGATAGGCCAATGTTTTTCCTCAGGAATGTCTGTCATACTCTCTGGAGTGTATTTCCCAGCGGAAGTTTTGCACTTCATCTTCGCTTAAGCATCTCAGGTACATTGAAGTGACCAACCAACGATAGAGCTTCCCATCGATCATTAAATATAATGCCGCCTTAATCTTGAAGAATGTCAGGTTTTTGAGTCTTCTAACAGATGTGTTTGGACAGCATATCAACGATGTGATTTCTTTCGTGGCCCACGTGGTCAATCTGAAAGTTTTTTAACCTTCTAATCTCTTTCTTCGCCTTGGCAAGGTATTTTGTCATCAATTCCTCCTTGGCCTCAAATTGTCTGTTTACCTAATTTACCACCAGCAAAGAATCTGACTTCACTAATATCTCCCGAGCTCCCATCTCATAGGTCAGACAAAGCCCAACGACCAAAGCTTCATACTCTGCCTAGTTACTTGAAAGTTCAAATTCGATCGAGGCCGACTGATAAAGGTGTTCCCCAATTGGGCTGCTCAGGGCCGACCCTAGACCGCCAGTTGCCTGTTTGGAGGCCCCGTCGACGTGTAAGACCCACATCCTGCTGCTGGGGAAATATTCTTTGTCTGGTTCTCCCATCGTAGAAAATGTGTCAGGAAGTCAATAACCGCTTGAGCTTTGATTGCCATCCGAGCTAAGCTCCACAACCCAAGTTTGGAGGCTCCGCCGACATGTACTATTTCATTTCTTATAAATTATGATTAATTTATGTTGATTGATGATGCATGAAGGTGGCACAGAGAACTTCAATAACTACTCTCTCTCTCTCTCTCTCTCTCCCCCCTCCTTTATCCACACACACACACACACATATCCTACTTAGTTTATCTAAATTAGAATTATGAAGAAAAAAACAACAATATCAATTTTTAAGAGTGTAAAAGGGATAATAGAATTATAGTTAGTTAAAAATTAAATCATGCCTTGTTATAAAGTGCTACAATAATCTTTGGTAATTATACAGGAGTTAAGGAGCAACTAGATTAGGATAGAAAATATTTAAATGAAATTGGGTCAGAAATTAGATTCTTTAATAAATCTTATTCATGGTTTTATGCATGGAAAAAGTGATATATGAGTGAAGAGAGTGAGGAAGTGCCTGCTTTTGACCCAATTATTTACTTAATTGAAATTGAAGATGATTGTAAAAGTTATAAAATATAAAGTAAAAGAAGTGGAGAGGGTGGAGGTCATAGAGGATCAATCTTGTACTTCCATAGAAGAGTGACATAATGTTTATATGATTTACAATAAATTATAAGAGAATAAGATATACGAACATTGACATTTTATGAATCTTATAGTTTTGAGGTATAAACCTATTCATCCTTTCATAATTACTCTAGTACATCCAATTAATGGGGAATAATTGTCTTGCTTAGAATTGGTGATAATCTTAAAGATAAAGAAGCTAAAAGTAATAGTTTGGTTAAATACTAAAGTGATAACTAGTTTCTTTAAAATAAGACATCTTACACTAACTTTAATTTTTATTTCTTGCAACATGTTTTTTTAATAAAAGAGTAAATCTAACACTACCAAGATACTTATGGATATGAGATTATTGTGTTGGCTGAACTATTTGATCAATACTACAAAAAGTAATCTCCATTTTTATGAATCTCAATAAAACTACACATTTTATGGCTTAAATAAGAATTTATGTGTATCATTGTTGAGAAGAAGTTTTTAAAATTATAATCTGATGTAGAATTTGTAAATTATCTATAAAACTCAAAAAAATTCATTGAATTTCATATGGCATCTCACTTCATATGATGCTCATGACATTATATAATCCAATGTCAATACAAATTATACAAGTTATGGATCTTATTCTGTAAGTGCTTGCTCAGATCACTTTAGCAATCAAATTTATTTGTTAACACATACAAATTTTTCTCCTCGAAATCTAGTGATAAAAGCCAACATATATAAGATCCTTAGGTCTACAATAAGGTATTATGTCTGAATTAAAAAAAGTATATAACTCTTTCAAATGTAGTCTAATAATTGCTTTAAATTTTATTCACCATGGTAACCATAAAGCCTTCTTGGTATATGGTTATTATTTCATTGATCTAACTTATATTACTTCTAAATTTAAATATGTTTTTTATATAAATTTTTTATAGCTTTTAAAATTGGAAAATTGAATTGCACACTTGAACTAACACATTCCTTAAAATTTATCATTTTATAGTAAAACATAGTATTATATCTCTTATAATATGTTATTATAATCTCATTTCTTTAGTTGTATTAAATCTTATTAAAATCGATTTTGATCGTGACAAAATTTAACTAAGTGCTCTTGGTTCAAAAGCAATGGTTGGTATTTTCATCCAAATTAAAATTTTGGATGTATTAAAAAATATTAAATGGTGAATAGATTTAAAAAAAATTTATTGGCCAAATTTTCATTTGATTTTTACAAATATAAATATTAAATTTTAGGTCTTAAATATTGAAGGGAGGTTACCACTTTAAAGGAAGATGACATGTAAGCCGAACACAAAAGTGTGAATTTTTCTAGAAATCTCTTGAGAAAATTATGAAAAAATATTACATGAGGACTTTGGATGCATTATGAGTCCAATAATGGGTCGTCACGTGTCAAGTGGACTCCATTATTTTTAACACTGATCAATATCAGTGTATTACGGTGGAGCCCTACCATCAAACTCCAAACATAAATTAAATTAGGAGTTCTCATTTAATATTTTCGTCACGTGTCAAGTGGACTCCATTATTTTTAACACTAATCAATATCAGTGTATTACGGTAGAGCTCTACTATCAAACTCCAAACATAAATTAAATTAGTAGTTCTCATTTAATATTTTTTCTTTTCAAACACATCTAAAACTAATAATTATAAAAAGATAGATTCAGCGCATTTAAGGCACCATAATTACTGTCATGGCGACCGCACCGTTGATGACAGGTGATCCGCTCCACTATCTAACTGTCCTCCTCCTAATGGAAGCTTCTGTCGACGACAGCATGTGATATTAAACCAACGCGTTGTCGCCTATCTCGCCGTCCATCTCCATCCAACCTCTCTCCGCGTTCCATCAAGACCCGACGGAAGACGAGACGCCACCCAGCTGGAAGTTAGGAAGATGACCTACAAATTTAATTCTTCCCCTCATGGTTATTTCTTTTTCTTAAATTTCATCCCACTTTTTATATCCCTCCTTGTTTAATTTCAGCCCAAAAAAAGTTCCCACCTTCCTCTCTCGTCGATTAGATTTTCAGATCTGTGTTCTTGATGATAAAGATCGCAGCTTTTGCATCCTGAAAGATACTATCTTTCCAAATTGCTTTTATGCAATCATTTAAAAAGTTGTAGTTTTTGCCTTCACCATTCTTTTTCTTATACTCTGCATCGACATTTTTTTTCTGTTCTGAGCTCTAACAATGGCGGAAACAAAACCGAATACCGACTCATTGCCCAAACTCTCTTCAAAAAGACTTCCAGACTTCAAGCAATCCGTTAAGCTCAAGTATGTCAGACTCGGCTACCATTACCTCATCACCCACGGCATGTACCTCTTCCTCACTCCATTACTAGGTATCATTGCCGCGCAAGCCTCCACCTTTTCCCTCCATGATCTCTACGTTCTATGGGGCCATCTACGCTTCAATCTCATCTCCGTCATTCTCTGCTCCGCCTTTCTCGTCTTTCTATCCACCCTCTACTTCCTCAGTCGCCCCAGTCCCGTTTACCTCCTCAACTTCGCGTGCTATAAACCTGAAGAAGCTTGCAAATGTTCCCGTCAAACTTTCATGGATTGCTCCAAGTCCAGAGGTTCATTCACTGAAGAAAACCTCGAGTTTCAGCAAAAAATACTAGAAAGATCTGGCCTTGGTGAATCTACTTACCTTCCCAAAGCTGTCACCAACGTTCCCCCAAATCCTTCGATGGCTGAAGCCAGGAAGGAAGCTGAGACGGTCATGTTCGGCGCCATTGACCAGCTCTTTGCGAAGACCAATCTTAAACTGAAGGACATCGGAATTCTGATCGTGAATTGCAGCTTATTCAATCCAACCCCTTCCCTATCTGCAATGATTGTGAATCACTACAAGCTCAGGGGAAATATTCAGAGCTATAACCTCGGCGGCATGGGCTGCAGTGCAGGGCTCATCTCAATAGATCTTGCCAGGCAGCTACTTCAGTCCAATCCAAACTCCTACGCCTTGGTTGTCAGCATGGAGAACATCACTTTGAATTGGTATTTTGGTAACAACCGATCTATGCTCGTCTCAAATTGCCTTTTTCGAATGGGTGGAGCTGCAATCCTTCTATCAAACCGGTGGTCGGATCGAAGGAGGTCAAAGTATCAGTTGCTTCACACAGTTAGGACACACAAAGGAGCAGATGATAAATGCTACGCATGTGTTACCCAGGAAGAAGATGACAATGGGGAGATTGGAGTTTCTCTATCAAAGGATCTTATGGCAGTTGCTGGCGATGCTTTGAAGACTAATATCACCACACTGGGTCCTCTTGTTCTTCCCATGTCCGAGCAGCTGCTGTTTATGGCTACATTGGTGGCGAGAAAGCTTCTCAAGATGAAGATAAAGCCATATATACCAAATTTCAAGCTGGCGTTCGAGCATTTCTGCATTCATGCTGGTGGAAGGGCTGTGTTGGATGAACTGGAGAAGAATCTGCAGCTCTCTGAGTGGCACATGGAGCCATCCAGGATGACACTTTACCGCTTTGGGAACACATCAAGCAGCTCCCTCTGGTATGAATTGGCTTACACTGAAGCAAAGGGAAGGATTGGGAGGGGGGATAGGATTTGGCAGATTGCATTTGGTTCTGGATTTAAGTGCAACAGTGCAGTATGGAAGGCGTTGAAGAGGGTGAAACCTGCGGAGGAGAAGAATCCTTGGATGGATGAAATTGATAGCTTTCCAGTTACAATTCCGAGAGTAGCAGTAATCAACTGAGCTGTGGAGATTTCAGTGATAATTTACAGTGCCTTATTAGGCGTAGCATTTTAGATTTAAGTTGTGGTAGAGTAGTTCTTTTGTGGATTGATATCCTTTGTTCTCTCAAGGGATTAGATAACATGAACATGTTGTTGTTTCGAGAGAAGAAAGTTGGTGTTTTTAATTACCTTGCGTTGCTTCTGACTTCTGTTGGTTCATGGAGGATTAAGGTGTTAATTATGGGTGCGTATTAGTCTATTTAAATCGAAATACTAAGGGTCCTTCTTTAAGGGCCCGTTTGGGCCAGCTTATAAGTGCAGGCGGCGTTTTTAAAACGCCGTCTTACTGTTTGGTTCGCGTTTTTCGCCAGCTTATCCGAAACTGCGTTTGGGTTTTCACACTAAATGCAGGCCGCGGGTTGAGCCGCGTTTCAGGATAAACAGTTTATCATGAAACACACAAGCTGCCCCAAACGGACCCTAAGTCAAACTAAGCATATTTTATTGGTTTGATTCTGTTTATTAAATAATAATTTTGTATTTAGAGTTAAAGTTATTTTGATTTCAGTTATTGGTTGGATTTAAGAAAAAAATTGACTCAATCAAAAATTGAAATGGTATTTAGAATTTGTTTTCTCATAATAGTTTTCTATTTATTAAAGTGTTGATGATCTACTTTAAAGTTTTTTAAGTATGATCTTTGATTTGATGAAATAATATTATTAGTAGTCTTGACTTTTAGATGTATCTATAATTCCGTTGCGTTTGATTGAACGAATGTATTAGCCAATCTGCTTGAATTGATTGAATGCACGCATTTTTTTTTATCAAGGTTTTTAAATTTTATTTAAATAAAAGATAAATCAAATAAAAAAAAATATACTGAAGTTTTATTTATTTAGTTATATCTATGATATCTATAATTTGATTCAATTTAAGTGCTATAATAAAAATGTCAACCAATGTATCTGAATTGGGGGTGCAAACGAGTGGAGTTGAGCTCGAACCACCTTGGTTAGAACTTGAGCTTGAGCTTGAGTAATTAATGGAGTTCATGCTGAAGCTTAATTGTATAGGTTCAAGTTGGCTTAAGGGTCGGCTTGTTTATTATGAAAGAGATAAAATAATATTAATTTAAGCTGGAGTTATAATAAAATGACTAATGCAATAGGTAATTAGGAGAGAGATAACAAGAAACCAATTAATATAAAATATAACATATCATTTTTAATATTTTTAATAATTTAGAGATAAATTTTGGAATTTAATATCGACGCGTGTCGGAAGGTCCGCGGCGGTAGAGTAATGAGCTTTCATTTTTATTGCACGGAAACCCAACACACACTCAGCTAATTAAGAGGATGAGTACACACCTCAATTATTACATGAAAACCCTGGAAAAGGGAAAAATCATGGGGCATAGCCCATTTAAAATAATTCACTATGAATTGTTTATACACATGTCCACCCTTCTCCTAAATCAGAAAATATGGAGTTACAAAATTGATCGTTGTAATTATACAATGGTAGTTCATCCATAGTAGCAATAGTCTGACTATAATGAATATAGTTCTCGGTGATAGTAGGTTGCAAGGACTGTAGTCGGTTATTATGGAGGCACTACTCCATCGAGAATGTTGTAAATGATGGTTATAACGCCAATTTTTCGTATAAATTGTAGTTGAAAACCATGATAGCATTGACTGTGTGGGTCGCTGATGACTACTTTAAGGGCATTGGTTGGCCACAAAGGTTGTAGTAGAAAGATGCATGAGCTATGAGTCATGTAGGCTGTAGTTGGTCATACAAATTATAATAGTTAGTTGTGAAAATGTTGATAGAGTGCAGAGGCTGGAGTTGGGAGCTACACAAGTTGTGGACTACATAGGTCATAGTTGGTCACATAAGTCGTAGTGGTGAACTGTGACAACAATCATAGGCCAAAGTGATTGGAGTCTGGAGCTGTATAAACTGCGAGCCACATAGGTCATGGTTGGTCACGTAGGCTGTAGAGGTCGGAGTGTGGAGTTGCACAAGCAGTGGACCACGTAAGCCTTATTTTGTAATGTAAACCATAGTTGTGAGTTGTGATGATGTTTATAGGCTGTAGGGGTCCAAGCCAAGAGCTGCATGAGTTGCGAGTCACGTAGTACGTAATTGGTGACATAGACCATATTGGCGAGCTACGATGACTTTCGTGGGATGCAATTTTCGGAGTCAGGAGTTGCAAAAGTTGTAAGGCATGCAGGCAGTAGTTGGTCACGTAGGTCATAATGGTAAGCTGTGATGACGTCCGTAGTTCATAGAGTTCCAAGTCGAGAGCTGAACGAGCTGTGGACCACACTGGTCACAGTTGATCACATATATTATAGTGGTGAAATTTGATGACATATGTTGATCGCAAAGACCAGAGTCGATAAATGCATGAGTTGTGGACCACATAGGTCGAGGCTGGCCAAATAGGCCATAATACTGTGTTGTGATGATATTCGTATGTTGTAAAGGCTATTGTTGGGAACTACACGAGATGTGGACCATGTAAGCCATTACAGTGAGTTGTGATGATGTTCGTAAGCCGCAGAGAACAGAGTTGAGTATTGCACAAGTTGTGGACCACTTAGGTTATAGTTCGTCACATGTGTTATAGTGGCGAGCTATGATAACATTTGTAGGCCCCAAAGTCTGGAGTCAAAAGTTGCAAAAGCTGTGGATCATATAGGTTGTAATGTTGAGCTGTGATGATATTCATGAGTAGAAGAGGCCAAATTCGGGAGCTACACCGGCAGTGGAACACATAGGTCGCAGTTTGCCACATAGGCCGTGGTGGTGAGATGTAATGATGTATGTAGGCTGCAAAGGCCAAATTCAAAAGCTAAACGAGCTATGGACCGCATAGGTCATTGTTGGTCATGTAGTCCGTAGCCGTGAGCTGTAATGACTTTTGTATGCCACAAAGGTCTGAGTCGAGAGCTGCACTAATTGTGGACATGTAGTTCGTAGTTAGTTACGTAGGCTTGAATGGCGATCTGTGATGACATCTGAAGGTCACAGGAGTCAGAGTCAGGAGCTCCACAAGTTATGGATCACAAAGGAAATAGTTGGTCACGTAGGACATACTAGTGGGCTGTAAGAAGAGAGATTTATGAGTCTGAAGAAAATTATTGTCTTTGGGGTTCATTGTTATACCATCTTTGGGAAGCGTCGTTGCACCGTATGTAGGTGTGTTGTTACACCTTTGTACACACACACACACACAGATATATATATATATATATATATA